ATTCTCTTCCAATTCGTATCGCGTTTTGACGTATTGATCGTAATTTCCCTGAAGCAAATGAGGAACGAGAGGAAGAACAGTTGAACAAACCAGATCGACGAACAAATTTGCCAGTTCCTATGCGGCTACAGTACGATTTATCACCAATTGGTAATAAATTATTTCAAGGTTTGCAAATGTTGATCGAAAAAGAGAATAAGGAGATTAAGAGTGCTAGGATTTCTGTACGACTTAGCTGGAGCCAAATTGCAATTCTCGTCAGCTCACAGTCAAGGCAACTGCTCAACACCACTGAAGAACCCAGAAGGAAAGAGCCGTATGGTACAGAGTGCGTCGTCAGGTGGCGGGAAGAAGAACGGACGCCAACTGGCAGCTAGCAGTGAAACAAAGTCTGGTGTAAACTGAATATGCGATTACGGACGATCGATGACAGTGATGCAGGATGTGGAAGGTTAACCATTTGGAAAGCGTTCCCCGTACCAAAACCATATATTTATGGGCAGTTCAGTGATGTAGCTCGCCACTAAATACAAATCAAAAATCAACTGAAATATTTATGACCGAGTAAACAGGCCTGATGAAAACTACGTTATTTACGCTACTTGTACCCATTATTGATTATTATCTGCGGTTTGTTTAAAGCGGAATTCAAAAAGACAGTAGTATATAAGCCTTGTTTACTCAAGAAGTGCATAGCTGAAGCCTGGTAAGGGGCGCGTTAGACCCAGGTAACAAGTGATCTGCCCCATTTCATCAGTACTTTAGGAAGGACTAGTGATAATCATTCGACCATTCTCACAGGTGGGTCAGAGAGCGACAGGGATTATCGATCAATTGAAGGCCTAACATCTTACTTAACACCCCGTGTGCAAACCGGGTCAATTGCTATTATCGTTCATCTGTTTGCACAGTCACGTTTGTGCGACAGAGGCCAAAACATCCACGAAATGGCATTCCTATCAGCTACGGTAAACTTACGGCCGAAAACTAAGTCGTGGCCCTGGTGACCACAGTAATAAGAGTGACCAAAAAGCTACCGAATACAAATGATTTGTAGCAAAACCACAAATCGTCGTTTGTTTTAGCTTAGCTTACCTCTCCGCTGGAAATCAATGAATGCACCGTTTGCATTCATTATACGCTCCTGTAATCCACCCGAAATTCGAGTATTAGGCAAGGCAAACAACTTGAATCGATCCAGTAACTTCTAAATAGGCGATTTCTTCTTCAAAGAGACGCTCAACATTAGATACGTAATGCGTCAATTCTTCGGTCCGATCACATTTTACTCTCTGGTGGCTGCATTACCGACTGATTTAATCTACCTTTGAACGCTGCTTTTCTGAAAGCGTTGATCATTAGACACAAGCGGATGAGCAAGTATCCAAGCTTGTTTAATCGGACGCACGGTCATGACGATGTCCATCTTCTACCAAAGATAAAACATATTGCAATAAATATTTCCTCTACGGTTCCATTTGGATGACGTGTCAATTCATGCGCTGGAACATGAGGAGTAAAGGCTAGCGACAAAGCCATAGCATTTTTACACACTTCAGTGTGATGAACAGCAGACGGGGTAAACCCCGTGGTTCATAGATGGGAACCGGGAACCTAAGACCCAGGACATAGAATGGGGAGCCAAATAAGGCCCCTCTAGGTTAAACTAGGCATTGAACCGGACAACAGCAAAGTTGCCTACCACCGAAGTTGGGTGGTGGTGGCGGGGCTTGAACCCCGGACCATGGGATCCGACCTCGACTAAACCATTGCTCCACCACCATCACAGCTAATAGTTTGTTTTGGACAGTGACAAACTTAAAACCGAGCGTGTTCGAGAGATAATGGAAGAGGCAACAATCGGATGACACGATTAGACAACGAAAAAAGTCTTACCCCAAAGTATTGCAATTTCCGACGGTGCATGAGAATAACATTGTTGCAGACCCCGTTCAGAAAGTCTTGTGAGTGGGAAACGACTACCAGACAACGTGGATACTGCACCAGTTCTCGCTCGAGCCACACACATGCATTCAAATCCAAATGATTGGTCGGCTCNGAAGGTCGGACAAACAGAGCACGGGCTAGGGCGATACGCATGCGCCAACCACCACTGAAGTGTTTCACCTGTTTAAAAACAATCAAAACGGGAGGCAAATAGGTATACAAGATAGGTATACAGATCACACACAAAATTAACGTATGGCATTTTACCAACAAGGAATATGGGCATTTGGGATGTCTTTCTGACTTATTCGCTGAGTTCACATCATTCTCGCAGAAGAAAAATCAACGNTCAATATCATTTTCACAAAGCAAACACATGTGCACGCTAGGAGATGGGAGAGACAGCGAGGAGAAAGTTGACTAGTATAGGCATACACAAACCACATGACCTAACAGTGAAATGAAAAGGAAACAAGAGAGCTAATGCTCCAGATTCAAATAGATAGACTCAGCATGCCAAAGGGGATAAGTGCTCCCTCGCTACGGCCATCAGAATTCTTTGGAAGAACCGGGGGCGGGGGGGATTCGCGGATTTGATGTGTGCCATTTCCTCCAAAACAGTTACAACTAAATCAGAATGAGGGAAGTTAACAGAACACCGCTCGCCAAGCTTCAGCTGCTAAAGACGGGATAGCCACGCAGGCACCAAGTCAGGCACAGTACCGATGGTGATGACGATCATCATCATGAAGTACAAGTAGGAAGTCAATACGCAAAGATAGAAATGAATCCTTTCCTGAGAAACTTTGGTGTGACAAACAGCTGAAGGACTGAAAGATATAGGAATGGGGATCTACTGTTTCTTTGTGGGACTGATAAGCCAGGTGCAATCCGTATGCAGGAACAATCATTATCTACTCGGTAAAATGGCTGGCGAGAAGCAACCTCACAACTTACGGAGCATGTAGGGAGTATTTTCATTCAGGGTAAACTCTCAGAAATCACCGCCAGTTCGGTTCAGTTCAGATTGTACAACCATTGCCCATGCACTTTCGCGTGCCGACTTTGGTTGCCCGTTGCGAAAAAACAGCAGGAGAATTGGAATGTTGAGAACAAAGTCAAAGAGAATATAGAGAATTCTGATAGACTAAGGTTGCCGGGATAATGAGTAGGTGCACGAGCGGCGCTATTTGCAAGGCCTAGGCCCCATCCGTTTCTCTAACCACCAACGGTTACCATGATCCCGAGGTCCCATCCAGGGAGCCTAATGTGACCTATATGACAGAGTCTCCTGGTCAGGGTTTTCATAACCTCATGCCATGTCTTGGTTTGGCCGCCGTTCGTATTTCGTATTTCACACACGGCTGAAACCAGACTATGTGCGAAACAAATCATAGTGCAATAATCTTAATAAAAAAGAAAGCTCCATTGACAGAGTGCTGCAAATCGGTTCTCGTAGCTCGGGTGAACTGAATTCCATTTTGCCTGCTCGCCGAGCATGGTCATTTGTTTGCAAACGTTTCAGCACTAACCGAGGTGACATCGTTAGTGCTCGTGAAGTAGCAGTGTTCTGCTTGCACTGTTCGTCTACATGTGTTCTTCTACACCGACTGTTTCTGTCGAGACCTGAGAACGGACGA